CCAGACTTGTTGGTTGTGGCATAGGCCTGGGAAAATCGGGTGAAATGATCCACTACGACCAAAATATACTCGTATCCACCTCTACTGCGCTCCAAGTGCAAGAAGTCGATGGACACTAACTCAAATGGCTCTGTGGTAGTGATGCTCTGCATAGGGGCACGCGTTGGCTTGTTGGGTCGTCGCTGTTTCAGGCAGGGGCACTCTTGAGTGACGTAGTGTTCGATGTCTTTCTGCATATGGGGCCAGTAGAACCGATCTCGGGCAAGGCTGAGCACTCTGTCTGCTCCCAGGTGGCCCATTTCGTTATGTAGTTCCCGGTACACCCGCCGTCTGTGTTTCTGGGGGAGAACAAGTTGTCGCTGGGACCCTCGCTGCCGGTAGAGTCTTCCCTGTTTGAGATGTAATTTCTCCCACTCATGGAGAAGAGCTTTCGTCTCTGGATTTCTGCTTCTCTCATGCTTCTTGGGTCGTCGGTTGCGGCTGACATACTCCAGTACCGGTCCTATCCCAGGGTCTGCTCGCTGGTCAGCAGCCATCTCCTGATCTGTTACATCTTGGATTCCCTCACTGCTGGGAGGGATTGAGGAGGTGATTGCTGCTATCCATGAGAGTCCTGACTGCTGCGCTTTAACAGCCTTGATAGTGGCATCAATTGCCATTGGGGTTGTCTCCAGGGTGCAATCGGCCATGTACTTCTCGAAGTCGAGGGGTAATCGTGAGAGGGTGTCAGCATCGATATTGGATTTTCCTGGCTTATACTTTATGTCGAAGTTGAAGTCTGACAACTCCGCCACCCAACGATATCCCGTGGCGTTCAACCGGGCAGAGGTGAGGACATAGGTGAGCGGGTTGTTATCAGTGTAGACCGTGAACGACTTTGCGTAGTATAGGTAGTCACGGAATTTCTCGCATATCGCCCACTTCATGGCCAGGAATTCTAACTTGCCCGAGTGTAAGTTGTAGTTCTTCTCTGCCGGAGTGAGAGTTCGCGACCCATAACCGATGGTTCTGAGCTTTCCCTGTTGCCGCTGGTAGAGGATAGCTCCCAACCCCTCATTGGACGCATCTGTATGAAGGACAAAGGGGAGGGAGAAGTCAGGGTATGCCATCACAGGTGGATTGGTCAGCCGGTCAAGAATGGAGTTCAGAATTTGCTGGTGTTCGCTTGT